AAAAAAAAAAGAAGTACAGAGTTCTGAACCCAGTTCTCTGACTAACCCTGGCTGGCCCTTTGCCCTTACCAGTCTCAGGGTGCCCTGTTTCATAGGAGAGGGCTTGTCCTAGGTGTGAGAAAGCCCAGATCGTGATTAATTCCTTGGCCACAGGTGGCACCCTGGCTGAGTTCATCCAAAAGCGCTGTAATTCCCTGCTGGAGGAGGAGACCATCCTGCACTTCTTCGTGCAGATTCTGCTTGCACTGCATCATGTACACACCCACCTCATCCTGCACCGGGATCTCAAGACCCAGAATATCCTCCTTGACAAACACCGCATGGTTGTCAAGATCGGTGATTTTGGCATTTCCAAGATCCTCAGCAGCAAGAGCAAAGCCTACACGGTGCCTGGGCATGGAGGGGGACTTACAGGGTGCTAGAGGTCTTGAGGGCCAAGGCTATTCTATATTCCGCCTTTCTTCCCTCTCCTACATATCACTTGGCCCCTCGGTGGTCCTATGGAAGGAATCCCTTTGCCTTCCTTTGAGGAGAAGCTATTCCCAAGTGCACCTGTGGGGAGAGCCCCTGGTCCTCCCTCCCCCCAGGGCTGTGATGCAAGCTCTCCTCCTGCAGGTGGTGGGTACTCCATGCTACATCTCCCCTGAGCTGTGTGAGGGCAAGCCCTACAACCAAAAGAGCGACATCTGGGCCCTGGGTTGTGTCCTCTATGAGCTGGCCAGCCTCAAAAGAGCCTTTGAGGCTGCGGTGAGTATAGGAACCTTTAAGGGGATAAATCTCTACTGTCCTTCCCCAGCAACCCTCCGCTCCAATTTCTGGGTTCCTTCTCCAAGGCTGAGTCCTGTTTCTCCTTCAGACTGGTGGGTTACGCCAGCATAGGGATGTGGCTCTGTCAGACTGTGGATTTCTGAGGAGGGTAGGCCTTGGCTTCTTCATTAGACTTAGGTCTTCTGAGGGGAAAGCTATGAGTCTTCCATCAGATTAGGGAGCAAGACTTGTTTTCCCAGCACCCTTAGTTTTCTGAGGACACAGCTGTAACTCTCCTATTAGAGTAGGGAGTCTGAAAGAAAGCAGGGTATAATTTTTTAAAAGATTAATTAATTATAAAAGGAAAGAAAAAAGCAGGGTTGACTCTTCTGTCTTCTATCTGGGAGTCCCCCCATCAGACCGAAGTCACCTGAGAGCAGAGCTGTTATTGTTTTTGTTTTTGAGACAGAGCCTCAAGCTGTCACCCTGGGCAGAGTGCTGTGGCATCACAGCTCACAGCAATCTCCAACTCCTGGGCTCAAGCGAGTCTCCTGCCTCTGCCTCCCAAGTAGCTGGGACTATAGGCACCCACTAAATGCCCGGCTATTTTTTTTTTGGTTGTAGCGTCATTGTCGTTTGGTGGGCCTGGGTTGGATTCGAACCGCCACCTTAGGTGTATGTGGCTGGAGCCTTAGCCGCTTGAGCCACAGGTGCCAAGTGGAGCAGAGCTGTTATTTACTCAATAGACCAGGAGCTAGGGCTTCCCTCACCTCCCCAGTCCCCTAATTTGACACCTTTGCAGAACCTGCCAGCGCTGGTGCTAAAGATCATGAGTGGCACCTTTGCACCTATCTCTGACCGGTACAGCCCTGAGCTACGTCAACTTGTCCTGAGTCTACTCAGCCTAGAGCCTGCACAGCGGCCACCGCTGAGCCACATCATGGCACAGCCCCTCTGCATCCGGGCCCTCCTCAACCTCCACACTGATGTGGGCAGTGTCCGCATGCGCAGGCCTGTGCAGGGAGTGGGAGGCAGTCGTGGGTGGTAGGGTGAGGGCACCCAGTGGCAGCACAGGAAGCCTGGGGCAGAAGGCACTTGGGGTGAATCCTCTATTCCTAAGAGTAGGAATGCTGGGGAGGGTCCATTTCCTGAGGCCCCCCATCTGACCTGTTGTAGGTCGGAGAAGTCCCTGGCTACCGGACCTCCCATATCCCCTGGCAGCACAGGCAACAGGACCACCAGTGCCCGCTGCAGAGGTAAGTGGGGAGGGCCAGTAGGTCCCTGCGGAGGCCACTCTGTTCCCACCAGTTTAATAGGCCTGATGCACTGTTCCCGTAGGCGTCCCCCGGGGACTTGTGAGGCCTGCCATACCACCGCCTCTGTCCTCGGTGTATGCCTGGGGTGGCGGGTTGGGCGCCCCCCTCCGGCTGCCTATGCTCAACACAGAGGTGGTGCAGGTGGCAGCTGGGCGAACGCAGAAGGCCGGTGTCACGCGCTCTGGGCGCCTCATCCTGTGGGAGGTGAGCAGGCTGGGGTGGGTCTGGACAGGAGGGGTGAGGGGTCCACAGGAAGGTTGGGTGCTCAGGCACCTTTGGCTCCCTCTCTGCAGGCCCCGCCCCTCGGTGCCGGTGGGGGCTCACTCCTCCCGGGGGCGGTGGAGCTGCCACAACCCCAGTTCATCTCCCGTTTCCTGGAAGGCCAGTCCGGCGTGACCATCAAGCACGTGGCCTGCGGGGACCTCTTCACTGCCTGTCTAACCGGTGAGCCTATGGGAACCTGCTATGAGAAGGCCCCACAGAGCAACTTCCTTCATTGCAAACTGCTCACATAATTAATGCTCCTTCTACTAGTTATTGCTTCTGCCTGCTAACTTTTGAGATATACTTATGCAATCTTTTTTGCCCTACTCAACAGGCCTGGCAAGGTAGTTATTATCCCCACTGGACAGATGGGGAAGCTAAGGCACAGAGAGGCTGTCACTCCATTCTTCCAGCCCTAGCACCCATCTGTTTTTTTGTGTATATGACGGTCTCATTCTTTTGCCCTCAGTAGAGTGCGGTGGAGTCATAGCTCACAGCAACCTCAAACTCCTGGGTTGGAGTGGTCCTCTTGCCTCAGCCTACTTAGTAGCTGGAACTACAGGCACCTACCATTACGCCTGTCTAATTATTCTATTTTTAGTAGAGATGAGGTCTTGCTCTTGCTCAGGCTGGATCACCAACTTTGTCTTGCTGCTCTAACCCTGGGTGGACTGGTCTATCTGGAAAAAGAGTTTAACTTCTCTCTCTGCTATCTTTACTGCCCTCCTGTCTGCCTGAGACCGAGGCATCATTATGACTTTTGGCAGTGGCAGCAATGGGTGCCTAGGCCACGGCAGCTTCACCGACATCAGCCAGGTGGGTGTCCCATGAAGGAGTGATGGCAGAGAGCCCACATCTGAGAGCTGTCTCTAGGTTGGAGGCAGGGGAGTTCCCCGCAGCTCCAGGTTCCTCTTAACTCCTGGGCTGTACCTGCTCTGAGCCACATCAAACAACTACAGAAATACCAGGCTTCCCCAACTTTTGGGGGTTAAAGTCAGCTACCTCATGAGAACTCGCAGCCTCCAACTTTGTCCCTCTAGTGGGCCTTGAGGCCATGTAGTTACTTCCAGACCCCTTGTCCTGTTGACTTATTTCCTCCTCCTCCCTAGCCTACCATTGTGGAGGCCCTGCTGGGCTATGAGATGGTACAGGTGGCCTGTGGGGCCTCTCATGTGTTGGCCCTGTCCACTGAGCGAGAACTGTTTGCCTGGGGCCGTGGAGATGGTGGTAAGCTCCCTACCCTTTTGGTCCAGCCTTTCAGCCCCATCTTACCACATTCTCAGCTATTATTTGTTTCCCTTTTCACTCATGTTCCAGCCAATGGCCCATTCTCTCCTCACTCTTTACTCTTAAATTCTACTCAACTATTTTGTGTCCACCCTGTCCTGGGTGCTGAGATGAACAAGATGTGGATTCCTGGGGGGTGCCTGTGACTCAGTGAGTAGGGTGCCCCATGTACTGAGGGTGGTGGGTTCAAACCCAGCCCCGGCTAAACTGCAATAAAAAATAGCCAGGCATTGTGGTGGGCACCTGTAGTCCCAGCTACTGGGTAGTGGTGGGGGCTGAGGCAGGAGAATTGCCTAGGCCCAGGAGTTGGAGGTTGCTGTCAGCTGTGTGACACCACAGCACCGAGGGTGATAAAGTGAGACTGTTTCTAAAAAAAAGATGTGGATTCCTTCAGGTGTTTATGATGTAAAGGAGATTTCATTAATCCAATATGTATTGAGGCCCTCTCTGGGTCAGACATCAGGCTGGGTACTGAAAGTGGAGATGACATGGGTAGGTGTCTATCCTCCTGGAGAACACAGTCCAGTCCAGGGAGAGGTTAACACAGCTCCAGCATGCTAGAGGATGGATAACATCAGGGCTACACCCAAAGCTTAGGAGGTATGGGAACTCAGGGAGCAGCAGTGTCACCTGAGGAGATAGAGGTACTATCTGAATAGGGCTTTAAGGGAAGAGGAGGATTTTGAGCAGCAGAGGAGCCTAGGAAAGGCATTTCAGGCTGAGAAAACAGTCTTCATTTAAGCCCACTCTTTTTTTTTGTAGAGACAGAGTCTCACTTTATTGCCCTCCACACAGTGCCATGGTGTCACATAGCTCACAGCAACCTCTTAACTCCTGGGCTTAGGTGATTCTTTTGCCTCAGCCTCCCAAGTAGCTGGGACTACAGGCACCCACCACAACACCTGCCTATTTTTTTGTTGCAATTTGGCCGGGGCTGGGTTTGAACCCACCACCCCCGGTATGTGGGGCCGGCGCCCTACTCACTGAGCCACAGGCGTCGCCCAAGCCCACTCTTTTTTTTTTTTTTTTTGAGACAGTCTCAAGCTGTCAGCCTCAGTAGAGTGCCATGGTGTCATAGTTCACAGCAACCTCCAACTCAGGCTCAAGTGATCCTCTTGCCTCAGGTTTTCTATTTTCAGTAGGGATGGGGTCTTGAGTTCAAGCAATCCACCTGCCTCAGCCTCCCAGAGTGCTAGGATTACAGGTGTGAGCCACTGCGCCTGGACATTTATGCCCATTCTTGGTGGGCTGTCTTCATCTGGGCATCACTACCCCTAAAACTCAAACTAACCTCATCCTGGTTTCTTCTTATAGGCAGGCTGGGACTAGGCACCAGGGAATCCCACAGCTGCCCTCAGCAAGTGCCCATGCCCCCAGGACAGGAAGCCCAGCGGGTTGTATGTGGCATTGACTCCTCCATGATCCTCACTGTGCCTGGCCGAGCCCTGGCCTGTGGAAGCAACAGGTGAATAGGTGCATCAGGATGACTAGCTGCCCCCTTGCCCTCTGTGATAGTTAATGTTTCACCTTCACCATTGCACACCTTCTACCAAAGACCTGAACCGAGGCAGGATGAGAATGCTGCTCAACCCATGGTGGGATCTGCCTCTTGGTGCACCACTTCCTGTCCAGATAGGTTGGGGCTGAGCCAGCAATCTATAGAAAATGTCAGTGGATTTGGCTTCTGACTGTGCCTTCAGGTTCAATAAGCTGGGCCTGGACCACCTCTCCCTGGGGGAGGAGCCTGCCCACCACCAGCAAATGGAGGAGGCCTTGAGCTTCACACCACTAGGCTCTGCACCCCTGGACCACGTGGCCCTGCTAAGTGTGGACCTGGGTACTGCTCATTCAGCTGTTGTTACTGGTGAGTAGGACTTGTGTGCAGGAGGCCAGAGGAGAACTCACCTGACCTCCTTGGTACCTCCACTGAAGCACCCCTTTCCTTTCTTTCCTCTTTCTCTGGCCTCCAGTCTCTGGTGACTGCTACACATTTGGCAGCAATCAGCATGGGCAGTTAGGCACCAATGCTCGCCGGGGCAGCCGGGCACCCTGTCAGGTCCAAGGCCTTGAGGGTATCAAGATGGCAATGGTGGCCTGTGGGGATGCCTTCACTGTAGCCATCGGAACAGGTGAGGTTGAGCATGGTGGGGGCAGACAGAGCCAGGCGCAGTAGAGGTAAATGTGCTCAAGGCCACTGGATTCAGCAACCTCCTATTTGGGCCATTTGGGCACTCTGAGAGTAAAGCTGCTTGCTTAGATGTGCCCCTATCCCATTTCCCTCCGTGGGATTCTCTTTGGCAGAAGGTGAAGTGTACTCTTGGGGCAAAGGGGCTCGAGGCCGACTGGGAAGGAGGGATGAAGATGCTGGACTCCCCCGGCCAGTACAGCTAGATGAGACACATCCTTACACAGTGACTTCTGTGTCCTGTTGCCATGGAAACACTCTGCTGGCTATTCGCCGTGAGTTATAACTTTTCCCACCTCACCACACAAGTGCTAACCCAGAGGCCCCTTCCCATACACCCTTCCCCAGAGTTCACAGTCCAAATCACCAAAAACATATTTAGCCCCCAGATGAAAGAAAGCAGAAGCTGTGGGATAAAACCCTGTGAGCTTCCTGCATGGGGAGAGCAAGAGTGGGTGCTTCTTGCAGGGTTGCCTCCACTGCTCCCCAAGGCTTGAATGCATTCTTTCTCCTTCTGCTCCCTTTGTCTACTTGACTTTGAACCTCTATTTCAGGCCTGGCAGGTCTAGAATCCAGAGTCCAGTGGGGGTGGAGGTGGGTGATACTTGCTGCAGGCGCTGGGAGGCTGCAGGGGTTTCTCTTTGGTACCCTCCAGCGCTCACAGATGAGCCAGTCCCCCCATGAGGCATCTGGATACACCTCTGGACCACCCTGATATTGCTTCTCCTCTGAATGTTCTGAAAAGTGCAGGTGCCTGAGGCAGCTCCCCGGATTGTGTCATCAATGGGGTATAAGGGCCAGTGAAACCCCTGCTCAGCTTTTGACTCTGGATATGGAAACCTCAACCCACTCTGTTCCACTAACACCCTTTTTCCTTTCCTACTCCTTCCCTTAAGTCAGTGTCCCCAGGGTCCAGCCTGGCTAAAGTTGAAAGCTACACCTAGCCTTTGCTAACAGGATGGTCTTCAGAGCCTTGTTAAAAAAAGGCTGAAAGCAGCCGCGGCTCCACCTAGAGACTGCCCTTTCCCCCAGCCCAGTTAGGAAATAAGTCTGACCACCACCAAGAGATGGCTCCCAGCTTTGGAGCAGGGCAAGCCAGGACCTGCCTGGAATGGCCATTAAGCCCGCCTAATTTCTGTACAGCCTGAGGCAGGGAGGTCCCAGGGAGCTCTGCCACGGCCCCACCCCTTTACCCGAAGGCAGAGACTTGCACTACGTTTTTTAGCATTCCTTCTCCTGAAAGAGTGCAGGGGCCATTGAGTCTCTACAGCAGAGAGGACTCGGGCTGAAAGTTGCTCCTTACCCCATGCTTTTCCCTATAAGCAGGTTGGGGGGAAATGTATCTGGTTGGACCAGACCAGTTTCCCAGAGGACTGGCAGTAACGCCAATAAAAATATCAGCTGCCTGCTCGGAGTGCAGACTCTTAAGAGGTGTGGGTGGCGTCCAGGCACCCCAGGACTGGGCTGGGCCCGACCTCGGTTACAAGGCTGAGGCGGAGGGAGGAATGTGGGCGCAGCCCGAGGCTGGGCCCGAAGTTCTTTTGGCCCAGTGCCCAGCCCAGCCTCCTCGCCCCGGCCAGGCTCCCCGGATCTGGTTGCCAGGCTTCGGCTGCCTAGCACCTGGAAGCTGGGGCCTCGGTCCCTGGGCGGCATGGGCTCCTGAGGCCAAGCTGTTGACTCCCGAGAAGCAAACCTTTTGGCTCGGCTAGTCCCCCTGCCTGACCGCACTCCCCTGAGGTCCTCCGTCCCACCCAGCGCCAGACCCCACCCCCATCTCTGGGGAGAAACGGAGCCACGATTTCTGTCCCTTGGGGAAAAGCCTCTGCTTCCGGGAGCGGACTAGCCTGACTCACTTTCGCGGCCCCGGGAGAGTCTGGCCGCATCCGGACCCCAAAGGCGAGAGCTCGCGGGGTGGGCGGGTCCCGCTGTCGGGCACTAGGGCCGCGCGGGCGCGGCTCCGCCCCCTCTTCCGGCGAGAGGGCTCGCGAGCCTGGCCCTGCCGCGGCAGCCAGTGGGCTTCGCCGGGAGCCGGAGCGCGGCCCGAGCTAGGCGCGGGCTGTGGGGCCGCCGCGTGCCCGGCCCCGCTCGCCCGTGCCCGCCCCTCGCCCGCCGGCCCGCCATGCCCGGCTTCGACTACAAGTTCCTGGAGAAGCCCAAGCGACGGCTGTTATGCCCGCTGTGCGGGAAGCCCATGCGCGAGCCCGTGCAGGTTTCTACCTGCGGCCACCGCTTCTGCGACACCTGCCTGCAAGAGTTCCTCAGGTGCGGGTTGAGGGGCGCAGGGAACGCAGGTGGCGGAGGTTGGGGGGCACTGCATGGGGAGGGGCTCAGGCCGAGGCAGGGCGGGCCTTTGTCTGCGCCGGGACCCATGACCTCAGGGGCGCCCACCGTGACGTCAAGGGGAGGGGTGATGTCAGGCCGGAGGGAGTACCCCACGCACTACTGCGTAGGGTCCCCGGTCCCACCTGACGCGTACCAGGTCGGAAGAATGCGAAGTCTTCCCGCGGGGTAGAGATGGGAAAGAGGCCCTCCCTGACCCGTGGCCGGCCCTTCCCCCTCACCTGAGCTCGAGAGCGGCCTCATCCTTGAACTTTGAGTCCTTCAGAGGACAAAACCCTCTCGTGTGCGGCACTTTAAGCCTCCAGAGTTTTCACCTGTCTAACCTCTTCAGGTTCTTCGAACGTTCTGAGAGCGGCAGCTATTGTTCTCCCATTTCACAGATGATGAAATGAGATTCAAAGAAAGGCTGCGACTGGCCCAGGGTCACACAATTACTTGAAGGCTTAGTTGGGATTTCAGCCCGGGCTGTTAGTGATCACACAATAGAGCGAGGATTCTGACAGTACAATCCTCTCCTGAAGCCGAACTCCTTTGGGCGTCTCTCCTTTCTCCCCGGGATCTAGAGTAAGGCGGGTGGTCAGTAAATTCATTCAGGAGAGGATCACACCCTCGTTGATACTGAATGCCCCCTGCTCTCTCAGGCCCTAGATCACCCTTTGGCTCTTGGGCATCCATCACGTTTCACGGTGCCCTATACAGCCTTGTGTCTCCAGCCCACGCGGGGAACTACTCAGGGCCGGGTGTGGGGAGGAAAATGAGAGAACCTCCGCTCCTGGGAGGGTCGTGCCTTGGAGCGCAGGCGAAGACGGGCTCAGCCACTGTCAGGAGCCTGTTGGCTGTCGAAGAGGATCAAGAGGACCAGGCGGGGAGAGCATCCTAGGGGCTTCTGCCTTCAGTGCTCCCTCTTCCTCCCTCCCTCTCTCCTTCTTTCCCTCCCTCCCTCCCTCCCTCCCTCCGGTCCTCTGCAGCCCAAGCTGGCGGAAATCTCAGCAGGCCCTTTGTTTTCTGTTCCTCACAGTCTGAGCTGGCTCCTGCCCTCACATATGCTCCTGCACAAGCTGCTGTGCTGCCCCCTCCTCCCTTTCCCTCACCCTCCACCCTCCTCCTCCCTCCTCCCTACAGTGTACACATTTACTCCCCTACAGACACACAGTCCCATTGTCTCCTCCACTGCTCTTCCCCGGCCCTCTGGTTTCCAGATGAGACCAGCTGAGCCACTCCCCCCATCCCCCACCCTACCCCACCGCTGACCCACCCTGACTGGGTGGAAGGAGCTGGGAGGGGGCTGTCAGGCTCCTTTCCCTACACCTCCCCTCCCCTAGGCCCACTCTGGTAGGCTTTGGCCCCTCCCCCTCCCGGAAATCCCCTCTTCCTCTCCCGTATCCCCCTCCCCCATACTGTCTTCTTCCCTGGGCCTCCCCTGCACAGCTGGGAGCAGCCTCTACCCCTACTCCTGTGCCTGGGCTATGCTGCTGAGGCCTCTAGAGGGAAGAGGTGGTTGGGTAGGCTGTTTCTCACCATCACCCCCTACCCTACAAGCCGGGGTGTCCATAGCCCTGGCTGAACCTTTTTCCTGGCTGGGCCCCAAGCTGCAGGCTTAGTTCTGCCTGAAGCCTAGGGACTTGTCTCAGTCCCCTCCCTGTCTCCAAAACCACTAAGTCAGCACATTCCTGAAGCAGCCAAGTGGACCCCCACCCCCTTGGTCCAACCCGCCTTCCACTCTCTTACCAGGGCTATTACTCAGGTTGGTCTAAGAAAGCTGGTTGCCCTGTGGGCACAGGCACAGCCCCTCAGTGCTTAAGCTTGTATTGTCCTTGACATTGGTGCCGTGGCCAGTGGCAGTGGGCTAAGAGGGGAGGAGGTGGGTACTAGAAATCATTTGGGCACCTGGGGCATGTGCTACCCAGGCCCTGGAAAGTGGTATTAGAACAGGGCTGTCATGTGGCCTCTGCTTCTGCCTTGATCCCTGCCTACCTCCCACCTACCTGACTCAGATCTGCCAGGAATGCCATGCCTGAGGGCCTCAGTCCTGCTAGGTGAGCCCTTACCCTGTCTGAGCCATACCAGGCATGTGTGACTGGTCCTAGCTGGGGTCAGGAAGGGCATACTGGCAGGAGGAAGCATGCAGCACAGCCCTCTGGGATGCTATCAGCCATATGGGGATTGGTGCAAAAGGAAGGCAGCTGGCATGGTGGGCAGGGTCAACAAGCTTCAGAACCCTACCAAGCAGTGGCCAGAGTCTTTTTGCCTATGCGTGTCTGGACTCTTTCTTGCCCCAGCCTCTCTTCTGTGTGTTGTATGGTATAGTAGAGCCTGTCTTAACTGTGGGATCAGCAGATACACATACCCAGATGCCCCTTCACCTTCACCTGTCAGCCTCGGTTCTCTCACCTGTAAAATGCGGACATTCCTACCCTTCTCAGAAGCTTGTTGGGAGTGTAAACAAGTCCAGGGAACATGCCTGTCCTTCTCATTCCTTTGGGGGACACACCTTCAAAGGAGGAGGGGAGGAGTAGGATAAGGTGGCCCCAAGCTGACCTTTGCCCTGGTTCTTAGGAGGGCACCTTAATCTTAGCCCATGGGTGTTTCCCCTCCCCATCAGCTTTCAACCCAGCCTATGAAAACTAACCTGGGGGGAGGGGTAGATTGGCAGCTTGTTCTTTTCCCAGTCCAGCTGCTATTCTGGAAGGGAGGGGTGCCAGCTGCCACCTGTTGGCCAAGTGCTATCTGAGGCGCCTGTCTGTGCCTTCCTTAGGCCCAGAACCCCCGTTACCAGGATGAGCTGGGATCCTAGAGAAGTGGGTTCCCTCAGGCCTCTGCTTGGCCTTTGCTTTTTGGGAACCTGTCTGGTGAGGGTGGCAGGCTGCTCTAATTGAGGGCATGGGGCCCATGGTACTCCTTCCCCTAATGGGAAGCCTTGAACCTGCCCCCTTCCCCTTTTCAGTGAAGGAGTCTTCAAATGCCCTGAGGACCAACTTCCTCTGGACTATGCCAAGGTGAGTCCACACTGCCAGGAAGAAGCCCAGGCACAGGCTGTTGCCCTTGGTGGAGGCTGGGGTTGCTGGCAGCCAGTGGGCTCAGGGCCAATGTCAACGCCTTGGGATCATGCGCCCCCACAAAGGTAGCCTTTTCCACCAGGCCAGTTTGCGAACGGAGGCCTGTGTTTGCCCTGGAGGGCAGGCACCATGCCCAGCCTGTGGGGGTACACAGAGAAGCTCTGTACCCACAAGAAGTGCTCCCTCCCCTTTCGGTGGCAAGCCAGACCTGTGGCTGAGGGCCAGTACCCCTCTGCCAGGAGGAAGTAAACAGCATTGAGGGACAGCCTAGGACTGAGTAGGCTGACTAGCTGCTTCTCCAAAGGGAGAATGGGGCATTCAGGTTGGGATCCAGCATCAAAGCAGTTCCCACCTGCTGCTGTATCCTTCATCACTGGACACAGAGGGGCAAATAGCCTAAGAGAGGCTATTCCTGGCTTTAAGGTAGGGTCAGCCCAAGTAGGGGTAGGGGTGGGTTTTGGGGACCGCAGCAGGCTCTGACCTTGGCCAGTTCTCCACGTCCCTACCCTCAGATCTATCCAGACCCAGAGTTGGAAGTTCAGGTACTGGGCCTGCCTATCCGCTGCATCCACAGTGAGGAGGGTTGCCGCTGGAGTGCGCCACTTCGTCATCTACAGGTGAGGATCTGATGTAAGTAAGTGGCTGGGATAACCCCTTTGCTGGCAGACACTAACTGCAGCTCTTCTCATCAGGGCCACCTGAATGCTTGCAGCTTCAATGTAGTCCCTTGCCCCAATCGCTGTCCCACCAAATTGAGCCGCCGTGATCTGCCTGTACACTTGCAGCACGACTGCCCCAAACGGCGCCTCAAGTGCGAGTTTTGTGGCTGTGACTTCAGTGGGGAGGCTTATGAGGTGGGTAGGGCCTGGTTGAGGGAGGGGTGGGGCACCTGATAGCCCACACATTCTTTAACTCAGCACCTTTGGCATTTCCACAGAGCCACGAGGGTATGTGCCCCCAAGAGAGTGTATACTGTGAGAACAAGTGTGGTGCTCGCATGATGCGGCGGCTGCTGGCCCAGCATGCCACCTCTGAGTGCCCCAAGCGCACCCAGCCTTGTACTTACTGCACGAAGGAGTTTGTCTTTGACACCATCCAGGTAAGGCCCTAATTGAGCTGTGGGCTGCAGGATAGGTATAAAGGAGTCACCCTGTTAACTGCTGTCTCTGCTTCTGTGGACCCAGAGCCATCAGTACCAGTGCCCAAGACTGCCTGTTCCCTGCCCCAATCAGTGTGGTGTGGGCACCGTGGCTCGGGAGGACCTGCCGGGTCATCTGAAGGATAGCTGTAGCACTGCCCTGGTGCTGTGCCCATTCAAAGACTCTGGCTGCAAGCACAGGGTAAGATGCCCTTTCTCCTTCCTATCAGCCCCTCCTTTTGTCCTAAATGAAGATTAGACTTTTTTTTTTTTTTTTTTTTGAGACAGAGTCTCACTTTGTCACCCTCAGTAGAGTACTGTGGCATCACAGTTCACAGCAGCCTCCAGCTTAGGCAATTCTCTTGCCTCAGCCTCCCGAGTAGCTGGGACTACAGATGCCCACCACAACACCTAGCTATTTTTTGGTTGCAGTTTGGCTGGGGCTGGGTTTGAGCCTACCACCCTCAGTATATGGGGCTGGCGCCCTACTCACTGAACCACAGGTGCCGCCCAGATCAGACTTTCTGATGCCACGTAGGATTTGGTGGTCCCTGCTATGCTGCTCTGAAGCTCTCAGTCCATCCTCCTGCAGGCCAGCTCCAGCTGCCTCCTAGTACCCTGTCTTCCTCATTCAGAGCTGGGGATCTGCTACCCCATATCCACTCTTATCCTATCTCCTACTGATAGCTCTTTTCCCTTCCCCCATGGCCCGGCTCTTTGCCAACAGTGCCCTAAGCTGGCAATGGCACGGCATGTGGAGGAGAGTGTGAAGCCACATCTGGCCATGATGTGTGCTCTGGTGAGCCGGCAACGGCAGGAGCTGCAGGAGCTTCGTCGAGAGTTGGAGGAGTTGTCTGTGGGCAGTGACGGCGTGCTCATCTGGAAGATTGGCAGCTATGGGCGGCGGCTACAGGAGGCCAAGGCCAAGCCAAACCTGGAGTGCTTTAGCCCAGCCTTTTATACACATAAGTATGGTTACAAGCTGCAGGTGTCTGCATTCCTCAATGGCAATGGCAGTGGTGAGGGCACACATCTCTCGCTGTACATTCGAGTGCTGCCAGGTGCCTTTGACAATCTCCTTGAGTGGCCATTTGCCCGGCGTGTCACCTTCTCCCTGCTGGATCAGAGCGACCCGGGCCTAGCTAAACCACAGCACGTCACTGAGACCTTCCATCCTGACCCAAACTGGAAGAACTTCCAAAAGCCGGGCACTTGGCGGGGCTCCCTGGATGAGAGTTCTCTGGGCTTTGGTTATCCCAAGTTCATCTCCCACCAGGACATCCGAAAGCGAAACTATGTGCGGGATGATGCAGTCTTCATCCGAGCCTCTGTTGAACTGCCCCGGAAGATCCTTAGCTGAGTGCAAACTGGGCTTGAGGGGAAAGGAGGATGGGACATGACCTCAGTCAGGCACTGGCTGAACCTGGGGAGGGGGCCGGACCCTCTTGTCAGCTGCTTCTGCTGCCTAGGTTCTAATACCCCATTCTCCCTTGCCCCCACCACCCACCCTCAGGTGCCTCCAATTGGTGCTTCAGCCCTGGCCCCTGGGGGGAGCAGGTCTCAGGGTCAAGGGCTAGAAACAAGTGATCCCAGTGCCTGTCTCCCCTCCTGGGCAGGGCAGACATGCCTTGGTGCCAGCCACACCCTACCTGGACAGAGGTACCTGCTCAGGTGCTATGTCTCAAGAGCCATAGGAGTGGGGAGTTGGGAATGGGGGAGGGGTAGTTAAGAGACAATGTCTTGAGATCTGGTTTCTTTCCCCAGCTGTGTCTCCTCTGGTTATTTATTTCTTTAGTGCCAGGAGGGCACAGCGAGGAAGCCCTGATTTTTAATAAATCCTGAATTGTATTTATTAATTTGGTTCCAGCCTGACTCATCTGGGTTGGTTAGGGTCTTGGGAAACTGATCCAACGGAAAGCAAAGGATTAGTCCGAGAAGGGCTGCGCCCACTCTGGCCCTGGGGTCCAACTGCCTTGCTGGGTTGCCCTCATGTGGGCAGCTGGGGAACTGTATCAGGCTTTGTGTGGATGACAGTTGCCCGACTCTGCCCTCTGGTGATTAGATAGGGGAGGTGCGTGGCCTGCCTGGAGATGTTATAAGGCTAGAGTCCGTGGTCTACGGTGCCTATGCCCTAGCTAGGTCTTTCTTGGACTAATAATAATAGCTACTAACTTTTTTTTTTTTTTTTTAAGACAAAGTCTCACTTTGTTGCCCTTGGTAGAGTGCTGTGGTGTCACGGCTCACAGCAACCTCAAACCCTTGGGCATAAGTGATTGACCTGCCTCAGCCTCCAAGTAGCTGGGACTACAGGCCCCAACCACAACGCCCAGCTATTTTTTTTAGAGAGGAGGTCTTGCTCTGGCTCAGGCTGGTCTCAAACCTGTGAGCTCTGGCAATCCACTCACCTCAGCCTCCCAGAGTACTAGGATTACTGGTGTGAGCCAGTGTGCTGGCCTGCTACTAACACTATTATGCACATTATGTGCATTATTTCACTTAACAAGACAGGTTAAATAGCTTTTATCACCATAATAAAAGGACCTACCTTAGTAGGCAGTAAAGAGTTAATGAGACAATGTATATTCCTGGCCCAGAAGTGCTAAATGAAAGTTACCTAACCCAGCCCACACCCAGTGACTTAAACTGGGCAAAGGGGCTTTCGGGATGTGCTAGGCACTTGGACTTTCTCATCCGTATCTTTTTTTTTTTGAGACAGAGCCTCAAGCACCCCCTGGGTAGAGTACTGTGGCATCACAGCTCACAGCAACCTCCAACTCCTGGGCTCAAGCGAGTCTCCTACCTCAGCCTCCCAAGTAGCTGGG